GCTGTGGATTGTCAGCTCAGCAACGGTGTCCTTCAGTCTCATTTTGTACTTCTCACTAGGCTTGAGGACCTTTTGCCCTTTCCTCCACTCCACCGGAGCGGGTTTAGTTAGCTCGCACTGCAGAACAGCTGTCTCGTTTTCTGTGGCTTCCATATGGACAAGTTCTTTTTTGAACAGTGCAGGCAAAGCTATGGGATGTAATATAAACAGAGAGGGTGTCACAACCATTAACCAGGCCTTGAGGAACTTAGGACTAGGTCCTCAGGCCAGTCCTTCACTATTACAGGGAAACAAATCACACAGTCTTGAAAACTGCATCTGTCAGTAAAATACTGAGGGATGAGTGCTGCCACCATGACCCGCTTCCAGTGTTGATTTACGCAGCATGCTCATCCCTTCCCACCTGATTCCAGTAGTCCTCTCTATCTATTTCAGTCTGAAGTCCTCTGTCTTGAACAATAATGATGTGATATTTGATTAAAAGCCATTGCCCCAGATGACAGCACTGTTAGCTGGAGACCTCTACCTTTCCTGACACCATAATTTATCTTTCTGGTTCTGAAAAACAATTAGTAACTTCAGATGCGCTTTTAAGACTTAATTTCTAAGGACATAATGGCTCTAATATCAGGAATACAGAGGGCTTTTTATAGCAGCATTCAGCAAGTTGCCTCGTGGTGTGATTGTGTGCCACCAAAGTAGAAAGGAAGAAACTTGCACAGAGAAGAAAGTTCCAGCTTGGAGGAGCTCCAGTCCCTCCAGCTGGGATAAGGAAGAGGAAGTAAAAACTTACAGAAAATCTGAGAGAAGAGAGTTTTGCCTCCACAGTTTTAACCTTGTCCTTAGAAGTATCTCATCTTTAAGATATATCTCAAATAAAAACCATTCATCTATTGAAACTGTATCAGAACTGCTTCTTCTGGAGGGGCAACCAAAGCTTGTTGCTATTCACAGTGACAGAGACAGGAACAAAATCTGTCTCACTACTCCCTACATGAGGATCTGTGGTTATTTTTTTTTATTTATTTTTTTTGGAAAGTATCAATTCCTTGGCAGAATACATCACAGTTCTGCAAAAGAGGAGGATTCATTCCTGGATGGGAAAACCTCTCACTGAGCTCAGCATTTTTAAAGAACTTGAAGGCAAGTTAAGCATTGAAATCCACTGACATCCTTGGGACACAAGGACAAAACCCTCTGAGAACAAGCTCTCTCCCGAAGGTCTGCTCACTCTTGGCCTTAGGTGCATTTTTCACTTTTGAGAAGTGAAGGCTAAGATGAGAAATTCTTACAACTCTGCTTTGCCAGAAAGCCATCAGTTTCAAACTAACAGACAGTGGAGGTGGCATTAAACACAGCCAGAAAACCTAGAAAATGCTGCAGAATCAAACCAGCAAATTAAGTGGGAAAGAAATCTCTCCGAGAAAGGGATCTCCTTGAGACACTGCTATTACCATGGACTGTCAAGACAGCCGAGGTCTTCTGATCTCCACACACACAGGTGTATTCTCCTGTGTCTTCTACCTCCAGATCTCGGATCAACAGCTCTGCAGCCGTATCTTCTTGTCTCATCCTGTACTTATCACTTGGTTTGAGTATCTTGTCCCCTTTTTTCCACTCCACCGGGACCCCAACCTTGCTCAGCTCGCAGTGTAGAGTGGCTGTTGCACCATCTGTGGCTTCTCTGTTCTTCAATCCTTCTTTGAAAAATGCAGGCAAAGCTGGAGGACAGCAATATGAGCAGTGAGATGCCATGTTCCAAAGAGTTAAAATTAAACATCGTTGATTAATTTTCCTTTTCCTTCTTATCTTGAACTGAATTATCAATCCAAGAACATAGATTCTCAATAGTTTCCATGAATCAGTATGAGGAAACAAATAACATCACCAGGAAACGATTCAATGCTTGCAGCAATCTATAGAGGCATTTAACATCTACTCAGAGTCATGAATCAATACAAACAGAAGTAGAAAACCCATTTTTTTTCCTCTGAAATGTCAAGCAAAAAGAGTAAACACTGATTTGAAATTTCTGGGAAAAAAATGGTTTTCTTATACAACTTTTGGAACCATAATGGGAGGATGTTTGCTATGTTTTCACATACTTAAACAAACAAAAAGACATAGTGCGTTAAAGAAAAAAATGAAACGCTGGAGTTTCATTCTAAATGTCAGTTTGAAATGAAATTGCTCATTTCAATACATGATGGGAAAACAACCATTTTCACCTGAACTGACATATCCTTTCAAACACGTCAGCTGCAGTAAAAATCAAAGCTCTCCCTGAGAATGGTCGTCCCTCAGAAGGTTTGGGTGTGCTTTAATAAAGGACAGTAACTGAACACAACAGCAGCTGGGCCATACATATAAAAGCACCTCCTTGTCTTAGGAAGGGAGTATGGGAATAAGATTCCAGGAATTAACCTAACCTTTGGGAATTTAATGACACCTTAAGATCCCTAAGTCACTAATAGCCTCTTGGTTGCAATCGATTTTGATCGGCTTCAGCCTAGCAGAGTCTAATAAAGGAAAAGGGAAAACAAAATGATGGACTTTAATTAATCAGTCTGAGTTGCCTATGTTTCTCTGAGCTTGCCCATTGATATCCCTCCTGTGCCAGGCACCCTGTCCCCACTGATGCTGATGGAAGCACTTTGTTGGCATCAGTGAGCTGTGGATAAGGGTCTGGCAGAAGGAAGGAGATGGAAGGATAACCAGGTGTCTGTCCAAATGAACGGAGAAATCAGGATAGTTACTTTTAATATGTGTCTTGGTTTGTTTATTTTACCATGTACTGTTAAAACTGCCATAGTCTGCTGGTCTCCACACACGCAGGAATAATTTCCAGCATCCGTCAGGTCTAGATTTTGGATTGTAAGCTCGGCAACGACACCTTCGCGTTTCATTTTGTATTTGTCACTTGATTTGAGGGTCTTGAATCCCTTCTTCCACTCCACGTTGGCAGCAGCCTTGTTCAGCTCACAGTGTAGTGAGACACTTTTACCTTCCGTGGCTTCTTCATCTGCCAGTTCTTTGGTGAAAAGAGCAGGAAGGACTGCAGAGCAAATGCAATATGGACACGGCATCAAAGCTGAGAAAGCCTGACCCATGACCTACTCATTCTCTTCCTCTACATCCCTGAACCTGGGTGTCACTGAAGCCACAACACCTTCTCCAGGATTTTGTTCCAATCTCTAACATTGGCAAAAAAGGTTTCAGTCTGATTTTTAATTTTTTGTCCTCATACTGTAGAACTTGCTTTAAAAGCAAGCCTATCTGTAGACCTAGTTGACAAGTCACCTATACTTTATACATCATAAAATCAAAGGGGTAAGATGAAAGGTCATAGCTTGATATGAGACCCAGAGCATTTTGTTTCCCTTGAGGAAAAAAAAACAACCAAAAACAATTCTACAGAAGTGCCTGATTCATGGCACTGTCTGTATTTTTATAAATAGAGCCCCTTAAAACAGAGCAGTTAGTTACAAACATGCTGTCAGCTTTCTGCTGAGGTAGAAGTGTATGCTAAGGAAGAGTTAAGCCAAAACTGGTAAAAAAGGGCTGGGAATAAGTAGGAGCATATAAGGGCCAGTTTTTACTATGATAGTCCTTGTGTAACATCATACATAGATGAAAACTTGCTCCTCTTAGCAGCAACAAGTGTAACAGCCAAGGTAACAAAAAGTAAATATTATTCCCACTTTCAGGTCAGTCCCTGTGGGAAAACTTATATGCAAGCAGCTCTATTGGACTGGGGAGATTGTGGTGAATTGGGGATCTCCACTTGTCATTGGAACATAGTAGCTAGGAAGACACATGGCACATCAAGAGGGCACCAGGTGAAAGGAGAAAGAGGGCAAAGGAAGGAAAACAGGATAGAAAAATTCATCAGCAGAGAGGAGGAAATAAAGTGTGCAGCGGGCAGATGAAACAGGAGGAAAAGAGGAAAAGATGTTGGAACTACGCAGGTTTACTTGGGACACATGCTGAGAATTTGTTTTTACCATTTACTGTCAAGGCAGCCGTAGTCTGTTGGTCTCCACACACACAGCTGTAATCACCAGCGTCTGCCAAATCCAAGTCCTGGATCACCAGCTCCGCAAAAGGACCTTCCTGCTCTATTTTGTATTTTTCACTTGCCTTGAGGATCTTATTCCCCTTTCTCCACTCGACAGGGGCTGATTTGCTCAGTTTACAGTGCAAAGTGACTGCCTGCCCCTCCATAGCTTCCTTGTTTGACATTTCTTCTTGGAAGAGGACAGGCAAGGCTGAAGGGTGCAATACCAACAGAGAAGGAATCAGCATGAGATCGAAATGAGCAGGACTCTGCTGTGAGTTACCGGACTGCACTGTATTCAGTTAACCAAAAATGCACTATGGCTAGGTGGATACAGTTGGAAAGAGGGATAAAACCTTCTAAAGCAGAGAGAAATAAATTAGAGAAAACAATATGCAACATAACTATGCTGTCTTAAAAAAAAAAAACAACAAAAAAAACCCCACCCCAAAACACAAAACCAAACCAAACCAAAAAAAAAAACCCACAAAACACAAGGGAATATTGTCTAATAGGGTGACTATTTGGCACCACAGGTCCCAGAACACAAACCTCTGAGAAATCACACTGACCAAGCTTTGGATGACCAGCAAATATTATCAAACATGCTAAATTTAGGGCTTAACGAGAAAACATGTGTAGAATGGTTACCATTCACTCTCAAAGCAGCTGTTGTCTTCTGGTCTCCACACACACAGGTGTAGTTCCCAGCATCCGTCAAGTCTAGGTCTTGGATTACGAGCTCAACAAAACGCCCTTCCCGTCTCATTTTGTATTTGCTGTTTGGCATCAGCATCTTCCCATCCTTCCTCCACTCGACCGAGTCCACTGCTCGGCTCAGCTCGCACTGCAGCGTGGCCGTCCCGCTCTCGGTGGCTTCCTCGTTCTTCAGCTCTTTTTTGAAGCGAATTGGCAACGCTGAGAGATGCAGAATGGAAAGGGATGGCAACTTGAGGTCCTGCCCAGATCGCTGGTCAGAGGCTGCATTACAATCTGTTGTATGACTACCTAAAGTTTACTCCAATACTCTTAATCATTAAATGCGTCCTGCATTGGTTTTTTGGGTGGTTTTTTTTTTTTTTGTAGCTGGCAAAAAATCAACCCTTTAGTAAAATGTACTGTGGGAATCAGAGTTAGGTGTGACCTTGATGGTGATCACGCATGTAAATGACAAACTCATACTCATCATTAAAGGTGATGAACCCTCCTTAACAGAAAATCTGAAGGAATCTTATATTTCCATATTAATTTAGGAAAAAAACAACGTGCATGTCAGCAACCTTCACTTGAGGAAAGGTGAGAAGACAACACAACACACACACACACAACATCGGGCACAATGAAAGCTGATCATGGACAGAGGTTGGGGAAAGGAGTGACACGTCAACAGGAAAAAGTGGAAGGATGAGAAAAGTAGAAGCAGGACATGAGGGAATGTACGGAGAGAAGGAGGAAAGAGATTGACAAAAACGTCCCAGAATTCCTGGGTTATTTCTGACTTTTTACCATTCACTGATAAGGCTGCTGTGGTTTTTTGGTTCCCTGCTACACAGGTATAGTCTCCAGCGTCCTTTGGGTCCAGATCGTGGATAAGCAGCTCAGCCACCGTGCCCTCCTGCCTCATCCTGTACTTGTTACTCGGACGGAGAAGGACGTGCCCCTTCCTCCACTCCACAGGGACCTCCCTGCTCAGCTGGCATCGCAGGCTGGCTGTCCCACCTTCCACAGCTTCCACACTCTTCAGCTCTTCTTTGATGAGTGCAGAGTTGGCTGAGGAATGAAGCATTCTCATTTTACTTTAGGAGCATCATTGCCAGCTGAGGACCTCATATGGGAGCTAAAGCCGTAACAGATTCTCTCGGCACAGCTGATAAGCTCCAACCTACCTGTAGTTCCAGAATTCCACTTGGATTTACAAGACGTCACCATGAGTTTGGGAGAAAATAAAATCAAAACAATCATTTCCCAATAATTAGAATATCAGGGTAATTACCCTTCTCCTGCCCAAACGCTGATGGTCAATGACTTGTGAAAAACTTGCTGAGAAAGTACAGAAGAGAATTGCAAAATCTCAGCTACAAAATGTGTAGCTGAGACCCTTCTTACCTTCCAGCTCAGAGCTCAGACAAGCTCTTCTGCTCAGAGCAGAAAGCAGAAAAGTTATTTCAGAGGCAAGAAAAGATATTTTGTTACCAGGTACGTGTGATTTCTACATTTTAGCATGAAGTTAGTATATCCTAGAAAACTGAGAACATAACGGGCCCAGCCAGAGCTGCCTTTTGTTTGTACCAATCTTTTCTTTTCCCCCTTGAATTCTCACTATAAATGTGCAGGAACTAGCAGGACCATGGCGAGAACAACAACAAATGGTCACAAGCAGGTGTCTTATTCCTACCATGGATTTTGACTTGGGCTGTGGTCTGTTGGTCTCCAGTGTCACAGGTGTATCTTCCCGCATCTTCTGGCTCTGCGTTATGAATCACCAGCTCTGCCACTGTCCCCTTCTGCTTCATTTCATACTTGGCACTTGCCTGGAGTGTAGCTTCTCCCTTCTTCCAGACCACGGTAGCATCAGCTTTTGTGAGCTCGCAGCGCAAGGAGACAGATTTCCCCTCCTCCAGTTCCGTGTTCTCCAGGCCTTGTTTAAAAAGGACAGGTACAGCTAGAACACAGAACCAGGGATTAGGATGTGCTCTCTTGACCTGCTGTACAACAAGCACCTCATGAGAGCTGTCACCTCTTAAAACCAGTCCTTCCCCAAGTGAGCAGAGCAGCCCGAGACCCTCCTTTGGCTGTGCAGCATCAAAGCGAGCCTGCCTGGGAGCAGGACGAAATCTCTCCTCCAGATGTTATCATCTCACTGTGGATTTCTAGGAGTACTGGGGAAGTTTCCGTCATCTCTAATAAGGACCTCTTTTGATTCTCCTGGGAATTCTCACCTCATGAATTCCCTTCTGCTGCCCTATATTTCTTCTGCTGTACTACAAAAGCTACTGTATTTGTTCAGGGGTGTTGGGGAGAACAGATGGCATCTGAGAGCCCTTAAAAAAGATGTTTGGGGGATTCTGGTGGTCTAAACATTAACCAGTTGGCCATCTGCATTTTGACAGAGTAGACTTATGCTTTCATGTTCTTGTGCTCCAGTGCTCCTGGTTTCCACGTCTAACCCCAGTCTTAGTCATGACCACAGAAAATAGCTGATAGCTCAGGAACTATGGTGCATAGGGTATAGAAAATAAAATTTCTGCACTTATTTTTTTGCCTGGTGGGAAGTTAAAGATTTAAAATTCCAGATGCATGACGTAAGATTCTGTGAATGTTAGATATATATACACGTGCTTACAAGTATGCAATATTACCTTTAAATGTTACTTCTGAATTTGTAGGTGGCACTGCCAGTAAGTGGTATGTGACTTCTTTTAAAGATCTGTTTAGCAATGGGTTAAGAAAGTGTGGCAAGGTATCTAACTCTGCCTACCTTTGACTTTCACCTGAGCAGTGGTCTTCAGTTCCCCAGCAGTGCAGGTATAGTCCCCAGCATCTACCGATTTGACGTCTCGAATAATGAGCTCTGCCACAGTGCCACGCTGCTTAAACTCGTACTTTTCACTGGCATAGAGAACAGTGTCTCCTTTCATCCACTTCACTGGGGTATCAGGTTTGCTGAGCTCACAGGTCAGCTTGACTTGTTTTCCTTCTTTAGCCTCTTCATTTCGCAGCTCTTGCTTGAAAAGAACCGGCATCTCTGAAAAAGAATATTGCAAATGTTTAAGGAAACACACAGATTGGAAACCGCTTTTCCCTTTTTGTTTCATACATCATTACTGAGGTGGAAAAATCCCAGGAATGGAAAAGCACTAGCGAACAGTAAACAGATTCTGACAAGTCACATCTGGCTGCACTCTACAGTAGCAAAAAAACCTCACATTTGAGACCATATGTTTCTCTTCCTTTTAACCACTGCCTGTACTATTGAAGACATTGCTACCATTGTCTTTATTAACATTAGTGGCAGATGCTGCACTGCTGTTAATGACACAAACAGCATGTTGCAGCATCGCAGATGGGTGGTCAGAGCCGGACCACTGGGACAAAATACATAAAACTACTGAGGTCAATTCGCACGTAACACGGAGGACACAGAGAAATAGCAAAGCGCTTTCTGTCATGACCAGAAGTATTGATTTCTCGTTATAAAAAGAAAATCCACAACATATTATTTATCAGACATGAATACAGACTTGAAACTAGCACAGAGCAAACACAGAGAAGAAAGCATAGCTGGACACGAAAGGGTCCCCTGTGGTGATTTCTGTGCAGGCTCTGTCACAGCCTGGGATTTGAGGCTTTAAGGTGAGCTACTGTAGAGAAGGCACTTATCAAGGACAAAAAAAACTCAAGTGAAGAGTTTTCCCCTCAGTTCATGAAAAAACTCTAATTTCTTCCTGGCTTCCGCAGTCTTATGGTTAGATAAGTCAGCTACTGCTCCACGATGCAGTTGTACTGTGGCTATTTAAAAACAAGAGGCTGTTCTTCTGTTCTCCTTTTACTTGTAGTTTGGGAAACTCAGTGTCATATACTGATTTTTTAATTATTATTATTATTATTCTGCTCTTTTTGCATTCTGCTCTTCTGATGTGACCCTAATAGCTGAAGGAAAGCTACAACAGTGTGATGGGTTGTAGGCATCCTTAAGACTTGACTCCTTCACATCTACCAGGGATCTGAATCCATGTGTCCAAATCCCACATCCATCCACACCTTTCTCTGTGAAGGGAAAAATGGGGCTCTTGTGTAACACCATGAATCCTTTTTTTTTTCCTAACAGAAAATTGGTCTTCATCACAGGTGAGATCCGGGTCTTACTGAAGGCAACACAGATCTTTTTTTGTGTGTGTAATGAGTATTAGGAAAATATTCTAGTGCTACAGAAAGATGTAGAAAATTGGGTCCATTAACCATAAACTCTCTTCTTCATTACACTGCCAAGGTCTTCTCTTCCGTTGCAGAGCAGATCTCAGCCTTAAGTTGGCACGTTTCTTGTGTTCTAGATAAATACCGTGAGCAGCTTGCCTTCCTCCTTCGGGCTCTGAGGTTCAGGTTGACTATTCCAACAACCCAAATGCTTTTTGTTCGCTCTGACTTCTCTAACCCAGGTCCCATCAATGACCCCTCTGGACCTGCTCAGACCTGCCCAAGTGAATGAGCGATTTCTGTCACAGAAATTCAGCTCCTCCTCATCCTCAGGTGATTATAACACGTGTAGTAAATAAACATGGTTCTGAGATGGCTCAGACGAATGCCTACTTAACATATTTGGTGCTTATCCAATGTGCTCAGGGAGGTATGCTCATGGATCTAACAAGGCAACATTTACTTCAGCCCAGATACCAATCCTGTAGATAGCACCTCCTGCCTGATCACAATTCTGGGGTGCTTTACTCAAGAAATTTGGCTGCCTAAAGCAATTACCCAGACAAACGTGGGTGTGTGAACTCCATCCTTAGAGCCATCAGTGGAGACAGTTCCGGAAGTGAATCATCCTTTCTCTGGATTATGTCTCAGGCTGGGTGAACCTCATACAGAGATGGCCACTGTCCTCTACTGACTCATTGCTCTCTAGAGGGCTTTGGCCTCTAGAGAGGCCTAAGCAGACCCAAAGATGAAGAATTGTCCTTTGTCACATTCTGTCACCTCGCTGGGTGCTGCCCTGGATGGTTTGATGAGAACCTCACCTAACTGTGGTGCAGCTTCACAGTATAGGTTCATATTTTCATCATTTCAATTTATTACTCTGACCTCTGTGTTAAATGACAAGTTAGGACCCAAACCATCACTCCAAAAGTTCTTACCCTTGACAGTAATAACAGCACTACTTTTAGCTGCTCCAGCCTCACACTCATATCTCCCACTGTCTCTTTCATCTGCCCTGTGAATGACAAGCTTGGCTTCAAATCCCGACCGGCTGATGTTATACTTGGAAGAATTCCTAAGGCTCTTCCCATCTTTGCACCACTTTACGGGGCTGTCTGACTTGGAGGTTTCACAGTGAAGGAACACATCCTCTCCCTCAGTGACTTCAGTATCAACCAGCTCCTCTGTGAAGATGCAGGGCTTCTCTAGAATCACATAAAAACCATCTGAGATGTTTCAGAAGAGGTGTGGATTTTCAGATCACAAGTAATCTGTGAGATTTACATGTAAGATTACTTGTATCAAAACTACAGGTCAAGGTTAGTAACAAATAATTTGATGTTCACAACCATATTGAGGCCTTGAGTAACCTGGTCCAGTTGAGAGGTGTCCCTGCCCATGGCGGGGAGGTTGGATTAGATGATCTCTAAGGTCCCTTCCAGCCTAGGCCATCCTGTGATTCTATGATAGGATTCTAAGACTACAAAGCCTACAGGAAGGAACCAGTCATGCCATAACATGTTTAGCAGATACCTTATGCCATTTGGAATAAACTGAGAGGACAACGTCCCAGTTAAAGAACAGAAATAAGATCTCTCTCACATCTTGCCAAACAGGAACAATATGGGGCCACGATTTTCCTAAGCACATTTCCATATGAGCTGATGGGTTTGAATCTTCTAACTGAACGTGGAAAAGTTAATTTTGTATGAAGCGAGGTGCAATACAGGTTTCTTAATACCTAGAGCTGGTGTCACTTCATGAATCTTCTAAAGCCAGGCAGATAGCTCCGATGGGTCATGTAGATGTCTCTGGATGTGTTTGTATTTCTACACAGCTTATAGAAGTAGCCTAAGCTAGATATCAACAGCTAAATTGGCCAGGGTAGAGCTTATCCCCTCCCTAACTTAACGCTTTTTAACTTGTGAAAAAATCGATAAAACAGGAGACTAAAACCATCACATATTTACATCAACAAAAAGAGTCAAAAGTTTACAAATAAGACCTGTCATTTGGCTTCAGAAATAAATCTGTTTGCATTTCAGTAGCATAGCAAGACCTGAGTGAATTTTCAAGTTTTTTAAAAAACATTTTTTGGCAAGAATAGTGGTGATTCTGGAAAGAATGAAAATATGACTCAGTGGAGACTGTGTTTTTTTACATCTCTGGATAATAAGAAATATTTATGTTTCCAGTAAGAAAACACGTCTCTGATCATGTAGTCTTGGGTTGTCCGGCATTCACTTTATTCCCTTGCTACAGAAGTTGAGTAACGTGGCAGTTTTAACTTAGTTTAAGTTTTCCAGATAAAACAATTAATTGTCAATAACAAATAGCAGAGAACAAATGTTATGCTGCCTTTCAAACAACGAAAACGAAATAAAAAAAAAATCTATTGGTTGCACTTCCCGCCCCCCCATTGAACTAATTGATTTTTTCTGATTTGTCATCATGCTGATCAGCTTGGCTCAAGGAAAACTGGACAGGACATCCAATGTACCATCAGTACAGTATAACATTCCCATCTAAGCTCCTATAACCACTCTGAGAATCAGCCAACACTAAAAAGTGTTCACTCCCCAGCCCTAGCTTCATTACATCAGTAATGCTATCCTTGACCACACACAGTTATAGATATGACAGGGCTAAATTTGTAGCATTTTAGTTCTTTTTTAACCTACTCACATTAACCCATACTTATTTCTACGCGTTCTTTCCTCTCCTGCAGTTTCAATGATTGAATTACCTTTAACAACCAAATTGGCAGATGCTTTCTTATCACCAGCTTCAAATGTAATGACCCCCGAGTCCTTCAGTGAGAGTTTTTTCAACGTTAGCAAGTGATATCCACCAGGCTGGGACTGGATCTCATTAAGTTCATTGGTATGGAGTGGGGTTTTATCCAAAAACCACTGCACTTTGCTATAGTCTACAGGAGAGATTCTGCATTTGAACATGGCAGATTCTCCTTCTAATACAGTGACATCTTCCAGGTCTTCTGTTATTAGCACTTTCTGGCCTGAAAGGAACATAGATACATCAATTACTGGAATCTTCATTTTCTAACACGAAAATCGAAATGGAAAATGCCAAGATCTCCCACATGAGCATTACAAGAAAGAAGTACGTTCATGATACAGAAGACTGAAGCACAGTTCCCATGTTAGTGCAACACAAAAGCCATTCACAGGAAGACAATATAGACAAGACACACACCAAATTACAATGATCACAACTTCAAAGCACCGGAACATAAAGAACAGAACAAGTAGCCAGTACAACCTAAATCCAGTGTTATAAAGTTTCCCTTCATGGAACTACCTGAAAAGGCTGAAAGGATGGGACTCTGACAGCATCACTGGGCTCTAGATATCACTAAGCAGATGATCCCTCCAGGATAAACCCTTTCATTTTTCTAAAGCAAATATAACTCATTTTCTGTGGGATAGGAGCACTCAGTCCCCACCTTCTTGGAGTGTAGTGCAATCTTAAACACAGTGGGAAGGGAGCAGAGTGTCTGACTGCAACTTTCATAAAAGAAACAAACCAACAGCCCTTTCAAGGGCAACAGACAGACAGAGAGACAGACAGCCCTTAAGTATAAATACATAAAATCGGGTTACCAATGTATACAAAGACATATCTGATGTTGCTCCTGCTTACAGAACCAGTGTGGAGAATTTTTACCTTTAGCTTTGTAACAGTAAAGTATTTTTTCACTTAGAAAAATTGATGTTAGAAACCGCAGAGTGAATTCAGGTAGCTCAGATCCTGAGTGGATTAAGCACACTTCGCTTCTCAAGGCTGCTCTAGCACATGATCAGAGTATAGTTTTACCCCCTAGTCTTTAATAACTTACTATAATAATTAATAAGTGGTCATGACCACTTCATCTCCATGTGCTTAGTCTTTAGTGTTCCTCCTGTTTTGGTCATTGTTTCATCAATTTCAGTGGAAGGGTTTTGCCTAGTCGGGGCTCCAGTGAGGAACAGTCAGACCTCAGTCCTTCCCTTTAGGCACTGTCCTGCTACTGGCATTGGCCACAGATCATTTACTGCCTGTAGCATCAAATAAAAGCTGCTGGCTTGTATTCTTCAGCCGGAGATTGGGTTGCACCCCTCCAGTTTTGGGCTCCCCAGTTCCAGAGAGACAGGGACCTACTGGAGAGAGTCCAAGGGAGAGCTACGAGGGGGATCAAGGGACTTGCACATCTCTCCTACGAAGAGACTGAGAGACTTGGGCCTCCTTGAAAGGAGACGGTTGAGAGGGGATTTATTAACATATAGAAATATCTGAGGGGTGGGTGTCAAGAGGAAAAGGAAAATCTCTTTTCAGTGGTGCCCAGCAATAGAACAAGGAATAATGGGTTTAAATTAGAACATAGGAAGTTCCGCCTCAACATGAGGAGAAACTACTTTCTTGTGCGGGTGCTGGAGCCCTGGCCCAGGCTGCCCAGAGAGGGTGTGGAGTCTCCTGCTCTGGAGACTTTCAAACCCTGTCTGGACACGTTCCTGTGTGGCTGCTCCGGGTGACCCTGCTCTGGCAGGGAGGTTGTACTGGGTGATCTCTAGAGATCCCTTCCAACCCCCAACATTCTGTGATTCTATGATTAATAGACCACTCATTCACCCATCCCCTCTTCGAAACCACCACTGGAAAGAAGCATCAAAGGGCACAGAGGAAACCCTGGAGGCAGAATAATTTCTTCCCTATGTAACTCAGAGTCCCTATCAAGCACTTCAAATCATACCCATTCTATGTTCCTACAGAAACACCAGCCTCTCCTCCCATTGGCCTTTTGGGCTTTAAACCCTACCCAAAGTACTCCCAGGTGTAATTGCTTCAAATTGTTCTGCATGTGCAGCTCCATATTGCTGTATTTTTATCCACATGCCCTGTGCCGTGTATATAAGTCATAGAATCATAGAATCATAGAACAATTAAGGTTGGAAAAGACCCTTGGGATCATCGAGTCCAATCATTAACCCTACACTACAAGTTCACCCCTAAACCATATCACGAGTGAGACAGAGCCAGAACTCAGTGGACACAGTCTGAGAAATAGATCTGCCTACACATAAAATGCTTCTTGTTGGAGAAGGGGGATGTACAAGCACATTCCTGTCATGCATACCTTGCACAACGAGCTTGGCTCTGGACTGGGCATCACCAATGTCGCAGCTGTAAGTGTCACTGTCACTTTTCTCCAAGTTATTTATGGTCAGCTGGAGGACTTGTCCTTTCTGTGTGATCTCATATTTCCTGCTAGCTCTGAGTTCAGCTATGCCTTTCCTCCAGACCACAGAGGATGCAGCTTTCTCACTCTGGCACACAAAGACTGCAGTTCCACTTTCATCGACTTTCAGATCTGAAAGTTCCTTGATGAAATAATTAGGTTTCTCTGAAAGGGGAATAAAAAAAAAGAAAAAAAATGACGAAAAGAGAGACAGAGACAGATTTGTTACCAGACAAGTTCTAGGCATACTTTAGTTTTGAATCCTTTCTGCCCATACTTGTAGAATCACAGAGTATAAAATCGTAGAATGATTTATGTTGAAAAAGACCTTTAAGATCCTGAAGTCCAACTGTTAACATAACACTGCCAAGCCCACCACTAAACCATGTCCTTGAGGATCTCATCTACACACCTTCTAAATACCTCCAGGGATGGTGTGTCCATTACTTCCCTGGGCAGCCTGTTCCAGTTCTTGCCAACCCTTTCAGTGAAGAGATTTTCCCTAATATCCAATCTAAAACTCCCTTGGTGCAACCTGAGAGTATTTCCTCTAATCCTATCAAACAGAATAGATCTGAGACAATCACCAGGTCCACCCCCTGTCACAAGACATAGCAGGTAAAATATTTCCAAGAAAATTTAATGCCATTGTATGAGTGCTGATGAGGACTCATTTTGCAGACCTGTACAGTTTTGATGGCCCAGATCAAAAAAAGTTTAATTCAAATCGCCAGTTTTGATTGCCAGTACCTACAAGGTATATTTTCAGATTTTTTTTATAAGCTTTTAATCCAAATCTTGTTTGAAAATGTTGATCTTGTTTAGGGAGACAGAAAAGAAGAACATCTCCCATGGGTTGCAAATATTTACCCCAACTTCTGTACCCTATGCATGTTTCAACTGACCTTGCACTGTGATCCTGGCTTTCGTTTTGGAGACCTCAGTCTCACAGGTATACTCCCCACTGTCCTTGACCGTGGAGTCATGGATGATTAGAATGGCCCGTGTTCCCTCTTGGCGTAAATCGTATTTCTGGCTTTTTCGGATCGCTTTGCCATCCTTGCACCACCTAATGCTCACATCAGGTTTTGACAATTCACAGCTCAGGCTGATGTCCTGCCCCGCTGCTGAGGTTTTATCCTCCAGATGTTTTATAACCTCTGTAGGTTTTTCTGAAGAGGGGAAAAAATAAATAAGAAGGGGGAGAGTTAGAATAAAAATAATGATCACTATATGGTTGGGATTTTTGGAGTTCAAATATGCAGCAAGTTTTCACATTCCTCATGAATGATTCAGATTATGTTAGGGAAGGCGTGGGAAAAATAGTCTTGCCTATAAATTAATTATAGTTATGGGCTCTCAGTGAATATGAATGATTGCATACAGGAACTGAGGACTTGCCCTGATGGCATCTAATTCAGGGGATGTTATTTTATCATCACTGAAGCTATTGTAGGTATGCACTTATGATAGCATCTGTCTCACTAAATACTAATGAGATATCACTGTATCTCAGTGAGATTTTTAGATATATAGATCTAGATATATAGAAATAGCTCACTATAAATCATCTCTATCAGTACAGCTGTAGAGATGTGATATGTAGCAGAGATACTCACTCCAGAGCTACCGTACAGCCAACAGTGATGCGTTAATTATAGACACTGGGCTTCAAGGAACCATTATTTTGTCCTAAATCATAGACTCATAGAATGTGTTGGGCTGGAAGGGACTTTTAAAGGTCATCTAGTCTAAGCCCCTGCAGTTGTCACTGAAAGAAGCAATTACAAAGAAAGAAATCTCTAAACCAAATGATAGTTTAGAAAGCTGACATTGGTTTATTAGCAGAGTTGGCCAAGTTTAGATGCTAGATGAAACTAGCATCCTGCATCAAAAAACTGCAACATATTTATTTTCTAACTTATTCATTATTGGTTAAGTGTATTAAAATTAGCTTCGCCTCTCAAGTAAATCAACATGCATGCTCCTTGCAGCTGTGGGGGGCGAGTTTTTGGCTCTCTCAGTTGAGTCAGTGGTCAAGATCTCCCACTGCCACATTTAATTTTGGTTCACTTTCAGCCATAAACAATTTTTGGTGTTTTGGTACCTCGTAATCTGCATAACAAGGGTTTTGATCAGAAAAATCCCTGCTTAGGTCTGGTTCCACACACCCCCAAGGACAAATAGCTCATTAAAACTTTCTAAACAACAGTCTTCTAGGTACACAATCTCTCACTATCTTTTCTACTAACTGGATGGAAAATTTGTCACCTTTTCCCACCCTTGAAGCAGCATTCTTCGAAAGACTGATGTACCACTATTAAGGCAGGAAAAACTGTTCTGCCGTCCTTATGGTAACACGATGATTGTGGGTGGTGAACTAAGTCTGAGAACTAACTCCCTATTTCTCCTCTCTCCACTGAGTGTTCAGAAAGCTTTAAGTGATTATCTCAGATGCACACGGTCTGGGTAGTCACTGTCTGTACAATCACACTGCACAGGGTATTGTGCAATTCACAAATACGTCTATGAAGTTTCAGCCTTTCACTTGCTTTTAAGGAAAAATCTTGGTGCTTCAAGGCTGCTCTTCAATTTGATCAGCACAAGAGTTTGCCTTCATGGTTTGCAGACACACATTATGAAAAGGTATCCAAGAAATCAAATCCCAGAACATTTCTGATCCTGTTACCTTTTACAACCAGAGAAGCCTTGGAAGTTAGACCACGGGCAGTGAAAATGACTTCTCCAGCATCATCAAGAATCGCGTTTTTGATATTGAGCGTGTATTTCCGACCCGTATTAGAGGTTTTAAATCGGCCACCGCTTTCCACTTTGCTCCCATTCAGCGTCCAGCTGAAGTAATCAATGCTTTCATGAGATAAAATGCACTCAAAAGTGCAATCTTCTCCCTCTTGGATTTCAGTATTCTTCAGCCGTTTGGTGATACCTATGTTCAGTTCTGGAAGGCAAAATGTAGGTTAATAGAAGAAGAAAAGACTTTTATGATTAACATGAGTAGTAATATCAACATTTTTAGCTCATCAGACTGGTTTATCTACTGGACTGGCAGGACATCACTTCTTTCCTTGCAGATGTATTTGGCATGGGAAGTTCTATGATTCTATGACTTCTCAGGCATTACCCTCTCAGAATCACCATGAAGATATAGAAAAAAGGGACACATGAATCCTCTGGCTTTTCTTTGGAGGGACTGTATGAAGAGGGACAGCTCACTCGATGGACAAGAGTCAAGATTCAAAGAGCTAGAGGGGACAAATGCTGTCAGACAGGATGCCACTGATGTGTGGTGTGACGTTCTTCTTGCTGATATGAGAAGTGGGATGTCTGTACTTATGAACTTGTTATCGTACTACCCCACCTCATGTGCAAATCAAATTCAAAATGTATCTTGATATGAGAAGTGGGATGTCTGTACTTGTGAACTTGTTATCGTACTACCCAACCTCATGTGCAAATCAAATTCAAAATGTATCTCATTATCAATATGAGTTTCTTTTTTTTTTCTCTTTCCTCTAATCAGCTACAACGATTAGAGAACAGGCTGAACTGTTGGGTCCTTCGGTAAACAATGTTGTCCTATTTTTGTGTTCCCACAACTGACTCTGAATTAATAGCTGAAACACAATCTGCCTGGATTTTTGTTTGATCTTTAACGTTTTTTGGGGGAGCGGTGGCAGTTTGTTCTCTCAAAATTATTTGCTCTTCTGAGAGGATTTCTGTGCCTTAGGGATGTTCAGAAAGGAAACACTGTCACTACGTTCTTGACACGTGATTGCTGATGAAACACCAGATATACATCAAAGTATACACCAGATATACATCAAAGAGTAACAGGAATTGTTCAGACATCACTGTGTCATGTGAGGCTTATGGAGGAGTAGGTGTGAAACCAAGTGACCAAGGCCACCCATATTTGCAGCACCCTTTGACTGGTCATAATCTACAAATACTTACCCTGAACATTGACTTTTGACTTGGCAACATCAGTGCCAATATCACAAGTGTATAAACCTGCATCTGTCTTTTCAAGGTCATGGATAAGGAGGCACAGGGTCTTCCCAGATTGTATCTGCTCATACTTGTTGCCAGAAGTGAGCTTCACACCATCCTTTTTCCAAACAGGATTGACCTTCTCTTTGGAGACTTCACATTCCAGTTTAACCACCCCTCGCTCCTCACCAAAAACATCGTCCAAGGACTTCATGAAGACAGAAGGCTTCTCTGAAGGTTAATGGGCAAAACGGAAGACAATCACGATATTTAAGTAGAGACATTTTTTGTTGTTGCCACATATTTAAAAGGAGCTTAAGTAAACCCTTGGCAATGCTGCCAGTACCAATGCAGAACCTAAAACAGTCTCAAACCTCATGAGTGGAATGAGTTTTAGGGAAATCAGAATTTATTAATGGTAGGATGCAATGACAGGAGTGATACACAGTGCTATAATCGTGGCCTTTCTTAGGACTGTGCACCTATGAGGCTGAAAAGACTCATTTTTCTCTGTGTTGAAGCATCTGCCAAGCACAAAAATCCCACCACAGGGAATGGGGCTTGGACAGGCAGGTAGGGGCCTGGATAAGGCTGGAGGGACAGTGTCACACTTCTATGGAAGAGCTATTCAACAAGATAAACCGGGTTTAAGGAAGCCCTTGTCTGCATTGTGGAGGAGCAGAAAATGTTCTCCAGGGCACCTCTGCGCTTTGCTTTATTGATTCCCTTTATCTAATTTAAAATATTTTTGAAGCTGAAGCTATTTATACAGGGAAAGTCTTTGACCAGATATAAAAAAAGGAAGATAAACGGAATTCTTCAAATTTTCTAAGTGGATAGAGTAAAAGAGTCAAATTACTGAGATATCCTGGGAAGAATAAATTAGTCATGGTCAAGAGTCAAAATGCAAAAGAAATCAGAGATGATTCTCCAAGAGGATATGAAAGACATCAGACTGATTTTCCAAGAAAAAGGCTCAGAATATTTCCCACTCATTTCCAAATACATGAAGGAGTTAATTTAGGATAAAAAAATCACTATGATTAACATGAGCATGCATGAACAGTTATGTTGCTAAAGAAAACACGATTTTGAAATTTTGGTGAGAGTTTTACCCCTTTTTCTGACAATAATTCACTCAACTTACTGTGGCTTAGCTGATGCACAAGGATGTGTTAAACCACAGCAACTCAGATGTGTGATTAAATTTTAAGACATAGTAAGGACAGCAAACTGCTTTCTCTTCACTGAATGAGTCCAACTCCAGAACCAACGTACTAAAGGTGTCCCCTACCCTTGGAAGTACACTGAAACTCAGCTTCTTGCAGAAAAAAAATCTTCACAACCAACAGTTGATACACTATATAACATTGAAGAGACCTACAAGTAAAGGAAATGCCTGATGACAAGTAAAAGGATGCTAAACAGCTATAAAAAGTTCTGGCAGGAGACCAAAACAGTCTTCAAGAAAATCTTTACCTGCAGTAGAAACATACACTGCAAGAAAAGTCCTTGCACACTTATTTCTCAGCCCCAGAGAGATGAAGCTTACAAGCACGATTGCAGCATGGACATGGTAAATAAGAGCTCCTTTGCATCTCTTATTTACATTCAGGAGGTTTGTGATCATGACCCACCTATGACCTTCAGGCGCACGGTCTCGGATACCTTATCCGACTTCATCGTCACCGTGCCAGCATCCTCCGGCTTGACCTGCTTCATTGTCAGCGTGTAGCAATTGCCAACGTTCCTGATGTCGTTGAAATTGTTGGTGTAAAGCAGGATGCCATTGAGGAACCACTCCACATCCTCGTCATCGTGAGAAAGTTCACAGGAAAAGACAGCGGAATTCTCTTCTTCAATTTCCACGTCCTGCAGGTGTTTGAGTACTTTGACGTTGCGGGCTGTAGGAAACCAAAAGGTTCACCGTCACTACTGTTACCAGGAGTCAGTACCGCTATCACAAACAGATTTCATAGTAGTTGGGGTTTATTAGATGGTTAAGCTGGTCTCCTGTACACCACGGGTCATTGCATTTCATTTATTTGGTTCTGCATTTGGTCCAACAACAACAACAAAAATATCCATTGTCCAGACTCCTCATTTATCTTTTTACAAAAAAAAAAAATCATTTGGGGTTTCTTTTCCTTTTTAGTTTAAAAATAATTAAGTCTTTCTAAAATGGTAATAACAGTACAATGATGCCTAAATACCTCCTGCCATGTGATTGTCACTGCACACGGACATACACTTTATAACTAAATGGTCCCTGACTCACTGCCAAGGAAAAACAGAGGATAAGACAAGGGGTTTGGCCACAAAGAGCAAGTACAAAGAGATTAAACAACTTCCTCAGGTTTGGGGAACAATAGGAACTGAATTCCTTTTTTTTTTATTATTTTTTTTTCCCCAGTCCTTGGCCAGAGGTTTCTCTTTGTAGCTTCTCCGCTTGTGAAATGCTGTTTCTCAAGGACTAGCTAACTCAGAGGAAAGTTTGGGAGTATTAAATCATTTTATCATTTAGATGAATCTCTGCAAGGTCAAACTGTTAGCAAGAGCTGCTCCCTGGACTTCTGGAAATGATTCTGTGGCTCATCTCCAAGTCTTGCTGAAAGTGGCACGGCAATCATCTTTTCCTACAGCTTGACTAGAGGTGAAGAACTGGTGAAAAATAGTGCCATACTCAGATGAGGTAGAACATCATTATGCATAACAAACACATAGCAGATATACAAGTTGACACTTTATGATTCCATGAAATTAAAACCGCAGCCAAGATCATCAGAACCAGAGGCCTGTAGCAGTTTAACATGAAGGACAATTTTAGCTAGAAGTACCAGAGTTCTAGCTCCCTGGGTAAAATGGAAAATAACGTGCCTTGAGGAAATCTCAAGAGTTTCTGCCTTACCCAGATGGTGCCCTTCCACATGCATTACCTACTTCATGGTACCTGCTGGATCTCAGTATCATCGAATATCAGCCCAGTGCAGAATCATAGAATCATAGAATTGTCATAGTTGGAAGGGACCTTAGAGATCATCTAGTTCCAACCCCCCACCATGGGCAGGGACATCCCCCAGTAGATCAGGCTGCCCAGAGCCCCATCCAGCCTGGCCTTAAAAACTTCCAGGGATGGGGCTTCCACCCCCTCTCTGGGCAATCTGCGCCAGGGTCTCCCCATCCTCATGGGGAAGAACTTCTTCCTACAGTCAGTTCACTTAAGACATTGCATTTATATAAAATTAGCAGAAGAGAACTGTGGGAATCTACTCAAGAAGAGAAACCCAGAGTGAAATACTTAACCGTAAAGGTATCATAAACCACACAACGGTTTGGGTTGGAATGGACCTTTAAAGATCATCTAGTCCAATTTCCTGCAATGAGCAGGTACATCTTCAACTAGGTCAGGTTGCTCAAAGCCCCGTCCAACCCAACTTTGAAAGTTTCCAGGGATGGGGCATCTACCACCTCTCTGGGCAACTTGTGCTTGTATTTCAACACCTTCATTGTAAAAAATGTACTTTTTTTTTTAATCTAAGCAACAAGCAAGCATCCCTGCTCCTAACTACTCATACCTTCAACAGTTAGTGTGGCTTCGGTCTCTGCGTTTCCAGCCCTACACTTGTACACACCAGCATCTTCTGGCTTCACCTTCAAAATCTTGAGCTCTGCCGAGTGCTGCTCCCGCTTTATTTTGTACTTCTCAGACGGCTCAATGGGCGTGTGGCCCTTGAACCACTTCACAACCTTTGGAGAAGGCCGGAAGTCGCAGGACAGGATGACGGAATGGCGCTCCAGAGCTGTCTTGTCCTCCATCTTCCTGGTGATCTGTATGTGGTAATCTGCAAAGCAGGGTTGCGAAAGAAGAAAGGCTCAAGAAGTAAGTTTCTAATCCATATTTCATGGCAATTAATTTCATATAGGTCATTCACAACTGTTTTGTGAATTGCTTAGATGATGCTACAAGGTTCTGTTATAGACCTGGTTTACTTTCAAGCTAAAACAACACTATGATCTAGAGGGAATATTGGTTTCTGTTAGATAACATATTAACTATCAAATGCATGGTCCAGTTCTCGATCAGTGCTTACTGAATTGCTCTGTAATTGAAGTTTTTATTCAAGCAAGAGCAAACAAAAAAGTCAAAACAAGGACTTCAGGATGTGATTGGAGATATTTGCTGCGGTGACAGCAGAAGACAAAAACCCTGGAAGCCTTGTCCCAGATCAAGTCAATGACAAAGTGGATTAAGCAAATGAGCTATCAGACTTGTCTAGTTCAGAAATGGGACAAAATAAATTCTCCTGGCAAATTTCATCTGCTTTGCCTTCTTTGGGAAGGCCAAGAACTAAAAAAAACTACACCACACACACAGAAGAAAAATCCAAACAAAACACCAAAAAGCCCTCCAAGCCAAACCCAGTCTTAGCTCAATAGATTTCAACATCAAGTTTGAATAGAAGGCAAATCAAACACGTAAGTCAGATCCCTTCCTAAGACATCCCTCATTTCGTGCATCTAAACATTGAGCCCAACAATGTGTAACTGCAGATCTTCCAGGTACACCCACATTTCCAAGACCTCAACCAGTGGATTCTGCAGGAGACAGCGTGTCTAAAAAAATTATATTCTGGAGACTGTGAGATGGAAGATCCCATGATATAACCAAGCCAGGACAGATGACATTACCTCTGACAAGCAGGTTTGCTGTGGATTTTGATTTGCCGATGGAGAACTGAATGGTGCCGGTCATATCAGCACTGGTTTTGAGTATTGTCAGCCTGTGGACGGTGCCTTCTTGCTGCATAATAATGTTTCTGCCAGCCTGTAAGGCTTCTCCACGTAGAAACCATTTGGGGGGTTTCACAGATGGGATGGATATCTCGCATTCAAACTTGGCTTCTTCAGGCTCAGTCACATCCTCATCACACAATTCCTTTACAATATTAATGGATTGCTCTGGGTGAAGGATGGAATGGGAAAGCAGAGATTTAACACTCTTTAATTATCATCCTGCACACTTTTTCCATCTTCAGTGCATTTGCATATTATGCTTCTTGACTCAAAAGGCCTTAAAACAATCTCTTTTTTTGGCATAAAAATAAATGTATATAACTTGGCACGGGTCAGACAGTGAGCCTGTGACACTGCCTCAAGAGAATCCAGATCTCCTAATTCCCAGTCCTATTTCTAAAGCCACCTTCCTATTCTAGTATCAAACACTTAAGAGCACACTTCATTGAAATGCAGATGTTGATAATAGGAAAGACTTTGGGTAGCTGAAAAAAAATTTCTCTGAACAACAAACCTGCTCCAGTACAGCTGATAAACTACTCAGAATGGTAATTTCTATAGGATAATGTACAATATACTCATTTTCTAGGATGTTTCTGATTAGATCAAACCAGGGTACAATCCTGAAAGGAAGCAATATCAACGGACCTCAGAAGAAATGATCACTGAATTAAAATAACTTAAGTAGTATTGTGTTTTAAAGTGAACAGGGGCTTTTTGAATCAGCCAGTCCTTCTTGCAGTGTATCATAGAGGGGAAAACAAAATGGTTTACTACCTTCAACAAAGAAATTAGCACTGCTTTTGTCATCAAAGGCATCACAAGTGTACGTGTCTTCATCCTCGTAATCTGCATCGTTGATGATGAGTTTCCGATAGACACCGTCGCTCACAATTTCGTATTTGTCACTGGGGTGAATTTCGACATCCTTTTTGTACCACTTCACCTTGGCATTGGCACGAGACACCTGGCACTCCAGGAATCCCCGATGTTTTTCAAGAGCGATCTTATCTCGCAAAGGCTTCACAATTTTGACAGGCAGTTCTGAAAGGAATTTTTAAAAATATTAAATAAATTTTAAAAAAAGATGGAATAAAAAGTATATTTTCCTTCAGAGGTGCTGATTAAAAGCTCGTTAGCAGTATTTCTTTTAGAGTCACTTTTGTGGATGACAACAAGTATTCTCACTGTGCCAAGCATACAACTAACACATAGAAAGTCAAGAGCTAATGAAGGGAAAAGTTTTTATCCCCATTTAACCACTTGAGTAGCTGAATCGCAGAGATAATACGTAATTTACTCGACACTACACAGCAGGGCTGTGGCAAAGCCAGGGGCTGATCTCAGATTTCCTGAGATCCCCGTCAGTGTGTCTGTTCCAATGTTTTCCTTCCCCTGTCTCTATTGCACTGTTTAAGTTAAAGATGCACAAAAGATGTATTCTTTTAAATCACAAACCAGGTAGAGAAAATGCAGGAGAAAGTCAAGCTATGGCTTTCTGTTCCTCAAAGTCCAAACATGAGTTTTAATGTCTTAGGGTTCAAAATCAACCTTCTGAGAAAATAGACAGTTGTATTTAGCAAAAGTAAACTCCCAACAGTGAGGCTGATGCTTCACATGTAGCAAGGCAGGCAAGATTTTTTCTTGCCCTATAAGCTCTCAGCGATATTTAACTTTCTTCACGCTAAAGGTGAGGGAACTTAGTTGGTTTGCAGCATGAGAGACCTTAAGCAGTATTGGCATGAAGAGCACCATTACCTTTTACAGTGAGCTGGGCACGAGATTCTGCCTTTTCTGCCACGAATTTGATCTCTGCCGCATCTTGGACTTCGACGCGCGTGTAAGTCAGCGAATAGGTCTTTCCTGGGAACAGACACACAACCAGCCACAGCTGAGCAAACAGCTTCCCCCTCCTCCAAGGCACGCGTCAGGCTGAGCATCACTCATCTGGTTTCAGAGCATCCCAGCCTGCTTTCGGGGCAGCGACTATGCCCCTGTGTCTGTGTCAAAGGATAATTCAACTATGGTCTGATTGAGGGTGGTCCCCACCATCTGGTAAGTACTTGAAACAGAAGGATCCCACCCACTGCCAACCGACAGAAATTCCTGGCAGCGTGGGATGGTGGGATGCTTCCAGATTTGCCTTGTTACAGTTCCCACCATGTCATTGTCCCAGTCAAGCTCCAGTCCCAAAGCAAAAGAGGAACTCTCTGCTGAACTTTCTTAATTCTGAAGGTGAGACCATTCTTCCTAGTCCCCAACACCTGCACCTACTCCACCACACCCCCACTGAAGAATAGCATCCCCCTTTTTCATCCTACCATCCTGGCGCATTCTAATATTCTCGGCGGCCTTCAGCTTGCTGTCATTTTTGTACCACTGGGTTTGGACCTCATCATGCGAAATCTCACAGACGAAAGATGCACTCTCGTATTCATTCACTTCCACGTCTTCCAGTGGTTTAACAATCTTGATATCTCGGGCTGTGAAATCATAAAGACAAATACTTATTTGGAGTTTCTCCGTGACTGAGTGTGGTATATTTACCTTTTGCACAACTGCACCCAAAAAAACCCACTGAAACAATACTTGTTTTATTCTAGACCAGCCTCCCTTCCTGAGTAGTTTCTCTCACCGACACAGTAAATATATTCTATGTCTGAACCTACAGGTAGAATGATCAGCTCACTGCAAGAGGATTTTATGGAGGCAGAAACTTTACAAAAGGTTTTAAAAGAAGTTAAATATATTTATGAAAGAAAACCTGTCAAGAAAAACTAAACACAATCCTACAGTCTCTTGCAGCACTATAAACCTGTCTCATTCACATCTTTCTCTGCATGATCTCTGCTTGTGTGTCCGGACCACATCAGCCACAGGTACCTCAGCTACGCTCTACCTAGGAGATACCTTTGCTTCAGAGACCCCTGACATCAGTATAATCCTCTTTAACTCTGTAGCTTTGTGCTAATTTAATCAGAACAGATCTGTATTTCTGTGCTACTGCAGCCCTTTCCTTTCAAACGGAAAATCTGCCTTGGACCAGCCTCAGGACCAAAGCTCAGATGTAAACCAGCTGAGCATTCAGATAGCAATCCATCCAAATCACAGCATCAGGGAGAAAAGGGGAGTTGAGCAGAGCAACAGGACAGGACAGATGTTGATGACGATATTGCTGAACCCAAATGGCCACATGAGGACAGTATCCAGTAAGAAACAGGAGCTGATTTGTCGTTTCAGATACCTCTCTGGAAAATAACATCTGCCAAATGCACAGCAGATCTCTCCGTTCAGTAACTGGCCTTCAGCACTAGGTTATGTCTAGTGCGTCAGAGCTCGGTGAAAAAACACATCTGGCATTTGAGTGGTTGCATGGTGCAACACAGGGAGGGAAAAACTGTCTTGAGCATAAAGAAGAGCTGCCGTCAAAAAGCATGACACTTTTCTTAGTAGCCTAAAAAGTAGGGCACTTCTTGAGACCATACCCAGGGCTTGCTCAGTCTCTGCTCAAGCAAAATCCCCCTGTGACAATGGCAGAAGCTAAACCCAGCCATGTCAGCGTCAGCTTTTGAATTCTTGCCTCATGATCATCGTTTGCTGACTTGCGAATCTAGAAACAGCATTTGAATTCCAGAGGCTAGAAATCATTTATGATAAATGCAAAACTAAGCTAGCACCTCTTCCAAAAGTACTCCTCTAAAGATGGGGCAAGAACAGGACAGCTCTGTCAGCATTATCTCACTAGGGAGAGAAAGTTGTCCGGAGAAATACCCAAATTATCCACAAAGCATTTCTTGCTGTGTAATCAAAACTACTGCAGAAGGTGTAATTTCCTACTTCAGTCAAACCTACCATGAACCTTTAGGGTAGCTGATGTCTTGTCTTCAGCTGCTTTACACATGTAGGTTCCCTGGTCTTCATATTCACACTTATGAATAATGAGGCTTCTCTTATTTCCCTGGGAAATAATCCCCACGTTTTTACTTTGCCGGAGCTCCTTCCCATCCTAGAAGGGAAAAAGCCAAACTAGATCACTGTCAGCTCTTCTACATCTGCAGTGAGCAAAACCTTCAGAATTGTGCTTAATTCTCTCATCTCTTTGGACTTAATGGAACTCTGTGTACTGGAACATACACGGAAACTTAAGCACAATTTAAAGCTTTCAAGAAGGAGGGATGACTGGAGAACTGCATAACTTCTAGTTGGCTTTAGACACCTAATTGAAGGCTTGAGGCACTCCACGAAGTTTGGCAATAAGCCCCTTCAGACATTAAATGGAAGAAATGCTGCTATCCCCATCTATGGGAAGTATCAGGTGAATCCCAAAGAAGGTACATGAAATCAGCCTGAGCTGATCCCCAAAATGACTGTCAGCTGCAAAGGGAATTGAGGCTTCATCTTAAAGCACGACTCCCAAGGAGGCTATAAATGCTGGGTGAGACCTGCTAGTGTGTGAAATATAGCACAAGAGAGTGTTTCTACCAATAGCAGAGCTCACATTTTGTGCAGGCATAGAAAAGTTTGACTTTTGACCCAAGAAACACATCCAGTAAATAAATAACAGAAAGCGATGAGCTGGGCAAGTAAATGAACACAAGGACCAGAGAGCAATGCTAAGAGCTAGATAGCAAACGTTCAGGCTCACATCCCCGGGAAGTGAAGTTAAAAGCTCTCAAAAGAAGTCAGAAATTGAAATACCACTATCCATTAAGTGCTGTACCTTGAACCACTTAACATCCACGTTGGGCCTGGACAGCTCACACTCGAATGTGGCCTTGTCCTTCTGAGTTACGTTGGTGTCTACCAAAGGTTTGCTGATTCTCACAGGCAATTCTGCAAAAAGAGCGAAAGCCCAGTTAGTGGGGGGAGATAAGTTCCCAGGACCACCTGGCACAGGGAATAATGAACAGGCGAAGCCCGGTTTCCAGGCTTAAGAAAACTTGCGGCAACAAAAATCATGGTTTGAGCGTGTTGTCAAGTTGTTCTGTGGACAATGACTTTACAATAATCCTGTTATTAGAAGGATATGTAATACAGTTACTGATGATGGTCCAGTGCTTCCTGTCCTTTGCAGTCACGAGGAAAGCTTGTTTCCAAAAATCCTGCCCTCTAGGTCAGGAGAAGACAGCCATGTCCCACACCAGCCAGGGCCTTTTGGGTGTGTGTACCTGTTACAGTGAGCCTCCCCGAGGACTGAATGCCTTCTGCTTTGAAGGAGATGAGTCCTGCATCTTCCAGAGTCACCGAAGAAAGGGTCAGTGAATGTTTCTTGCCCAGGACACCAATACTGATGTTCGGTGAAGGCTTCAGCCGAATGCCATCCTTCTGCCAGGTCCCTTCCACGTCCTCATGCGACACCTCCACCTCGAAGGTGACGGTCCCTTTCTCAGAGACTTCAAGGGGCTGAAGACCTTTCACCAGCTTGATCTGCCTCACTGGAAAAAAAACAAGGACAAGTTGGACATCTCCCACCAACAGCTGTGAAACAGCCTGGGGACTTCCAAAACGGCTTATTTCCGTATTCCTCATGCAAGTACCTGTCAATTATTTGGTATCTACCAGTTAAATCATCACCTTGGCAGAAAAGAAAACCTGTTTATGACCATAGTGCTAGCACGGCTACTGTTCTTAAACCAGTCTTCTGTGCTGGGTGAGGTGGTTACTTACAACAATCAGGAAAAACATACTCTGGAGGAAGGTCACATTGTTGTTATTATTATTTATGATTAATGGGGCATAAAGGTATATACAATATTTTTCAGCTTTTCCACTAGGATGAAACAAGGGAAGGAGGAATAGCAGGGAGAAGAGAAAACTTTTACTAAAAGAAAAAATAAATAATCCCCTATGTATTGTGAAGTGCGCTGACACCTTACAGTTTAAGGGACAAAATATCCATGTTTTGGGTGGATATTACCTGTTTCCACTACAAGACATCAGGGCCCTATCAGTCAGTAAAATAGATTTAGTGTTCCAACTTGTCCCACAGTTTAAAGATATTAAGTTGCTAATTAAAAAAAAAAATAAATTAAAAAAAGCCCTCTACAAAGCTATGAATTATCCACAAAAACCTTTACCTCCCTCTGAGTTACTGAGGAATAGTTTGATTTTCCTAGTACACGTTTAGCAGAGATAAACCAGATTCAGACAGGATCTGAACGCAAACCTGGCCAGGAGTGGGCTGTTTGGTGACCATGGTCTGGACCCAGCTCCTGGGCTGAGGACACCAGCGTCTTTCTGCAGCTCAGACATCTCCTGACGGCATCTACTCCAGTGCCACATGGGGGATAACCAGGAACAAACGCTTTCTCCAAAGATCCCACAGAGGTGACCTGAGCAGATTATGACTTTAGAAACTGGGTAGAAGCACAGTACTGCTCTCCCCAGGAGAGTGGTGGTGGACTCCACGTAATGCCATCTCCTTATGTCTTTCCTGTCCTCTTTCTTGCGGTCACACCTCACAGCAGGTTTAGAGAGGGACATACACATCCTCTGCAGGATTCTGTCTAATCCCTCACTCAAGGAAACCACAGCGATTCCTCTCTCATGGATGTCTTGCACGTCACAACCCCTTAAGCAGAAATTTTTCTCCAAGGATATGTCTTGAACCGGACAAATGAGGGAAGTACAGACACATCCAGGAGCTTGCTCTTTGCTTCCCAGACTAAGACATCAGGTCTCCTAACCCTGCTCGTTACAAGTTGCATCATGTCATGATTTCTGAACTGATTTTGCAGCCAGCCCCTATTCCTGTGGGGTACTTCATTCTTTAAATTCAACACAGTGTACCTGCCACTATCTAAACTTTCCCCTAGGTTAATAGACACTCCAGCCCCTCAAACAGTGAATGGGCTGAAGATCAAACTGGAATTATTCCAAGGAGATAGAAAAAGGGATGTGCAAAACCATTAATTAAATAGCATAGTCATTTCTAATTCAGTAAGTGGACTCCTGGATACATGCTCACCTGGTGCTGTGCACAGGACTGGAAAAAAAAATTTAAATAGATTGCTTTTTCAAAGGTCTTATCACAAAGCAGGTAGTTTGGGAAGGGTAGAACCTTCATAAGATTTATTTTAAATAGCCAATATTTTGTGCCCAGAGACTTGAAATTTCATGCTCATGCCTCAAATATAATTTCTGCTATAATTAATTGACCTAATTCTGCTTTTCCCTTCTGAAGACTTAGAGATGTGACAGGAGGGATTCCTTTACCCATGACTTACTTAAGTCTTTTGCAAACATTGCCTCCAGGTTCAAAACTGAAAATAGATATTCAGCCAGATATGTTATTGGTTTGAGCATCTCAGCTGTTTTAAGGATCTCCTAGCATCTTAAGATCGAACAAATGCTTATCTCTCAATGAAGCAACTTTTATACTGGAGTAAATAAACAGATTTTCATATAGATATTCTTTATTTACCTTGCTGTGAAAACAAATCAGAAACCAAACACTATCAGTTCAGCATCGTGAGTTTTTTTTAAATGAAGGTCTTCTGAAATCAGGCTTCTTAACCTCAAGCTGACCACCAAATAGTTGCAGCTCAGTTCCCCGGACTGTGAGCATTTGACAAATTTCTACTGACCTCAGTGTAAACTTTAACCCATTCTACTGAAAAAAGGCCACTTGCTTAAATGCCAAAAATTGGAGCATAACTCTAGACTTCTACTTTTAGAGTCTTGCTTTTGCTATAAAACAGTGTGAGGGCTCGGTGCCATCTCAGCTGGAGAGCTTGGATGCAGAACATGTGCAGTCTAGTGAGATCCTTGTATACGGCCCCTCTGCTGCTTCATCTCCTTACTAAGGCTTGGGTGGTTGTATGCAAAAAGAATTTCCTGCCGTGGTGAGCTGATTCCCCTTTTTCATCACAGTCCCTCTCAGATCACCTTGAGTTTCCATGACCGAGTGAAACTATCCCAGTTCCTCAACAGAGGAGTTACTTTTAACAGTGACACTAAGTGTAAGTGATGAGAAGGCAGCTGGGTGCTTGGGAAGCACAAAGCAAAATCCTCTCTCTCCATCTGAATAGAATGTTTATAAATCAGAGACAGATATGTTTGCGCTTGCATCACTCACCTTGTGCAAAACATTGCTGACAGCTATCAGGACTATCCAGTTACTTCCTATATAAACACTCTTCCACCATTTTTTGGTTTTGCTGCTTGGCGATAGCAACAGTTGGTTCCTCAAAACAGATGTAACTCTGTCTACAACCAACTGCTGAAACATCTCGCTGGAAGGAACAGGAGTACTGCCCAGAATTTGAACAAAAATTGCCTTGGGGTGTGAAAGCAGATGGAGCAGCAAACTACCCCGTACCACATCACAGTCTCCCAACGCTGTGTGGCTGCGGAAATGCCATATTTCCTTATTCTCTTTGGATCTTGTTCATCTGATTTAACTGAGATAGTAAACCTGAATCGAGCTCTAAGTCAGGATTGTAGTCACAGAATGTTAGGGGATGGAAGTGACCTCAAAAGATCATCTAGTCCAACCCCCTGCCAGAGTAGGATCACCTAGAGAAGGTCACACAGGAACACATCCAGGAGGGTTTTGAATGCCTCCAGAGAAAGAGACCCCACAACCTCCCTGGGCAGCCTGTGCCAGGGCTCTGTCACCCTCACAGGGAAGAAGCTTTTCCTAAAGTTTTTGTTGAATCTCCTGTGCTCCAGCTTGCCCCCATTGCCCCTTGTCCTGTCATTGGACACCCCTGAGAAGAGCCTGGCTCTGTCCTCCTGACACTCTCCCTTTACATATTTATAAACATTTATGAAGTCATCCTTCAACCATGGTTCCTTGAATACTCAGACACTCACAAAGTAATTCAGTGCATCTAAGTTTTTAAATGCACTCTGGAGGTATTTTCTTCTCTTTGTCAGCTACAGAAAGTAATGTGTAGATTGAGGTTTCATAAATCTAAGATGAATCTACCTGCTGCTATTCATTGTAAATGTCTATTTTTTTTCAGAATAATAGATGAGCAACCACCAACGGAGGAAATTATAGAAGCGATAGCCGCCGAATATTGGCATGTTAAAGCAAGGGATTTTTGACAACTGCCAGTCAGGAGGATTTTGAAGATGAAGCTGTCTTAGCAGTGTGTGGAAGTGATTTGACAAACCCATCTCTGTATGAGGCAGTCCATCATCAATTTTTAATATCTTTGGTTCCATCAGAAGACTACAAGATTATAAGGCTAGAAAGAAAAATCATCAGACCCTTCTTTCCTGCTCTAGTAAACACTGAGCTCTTTACGTCATCCCAGACAGATAATTCACTAACCTTTTCTGAAATCCATGATGGAGGTTCCAAGACCTCTCCAGTCAATCTATTCAGTTATTCAACCCTTAAAAAGCTTTTTCATTCTATAACTTGGATCTTTCTCGCTGCAACTGAGGTCCATTATTTCTTGTAATTATTTCCACATGAAGAACAGACTGTTCCACTTATAACAGTCTTTTATGTACTTGAAGTCTGTTATCAAGCCCTTCCTTACCTATTATTTATGACCTGCACAGCACCAATTGATGGCAGGGGCTTTACAGACAAAATTAGATAGTCTTTAAATGCTTAAATCCTGTCTCCATCTACCCTGTAGCAATCATGACAAAAGGATTAAGGAAAAGGGGCTACAGCCGAGACACCACTAGCTTACTTGAGAAGGCAGTACCCTCAGATAGAGGATTTGCTTTTTTAACCCTGACTGACTGTAAAGAGACATTCTGAAAGAGGTGGTTTGCAGAATTAGGGCAATGGATGGCTGAAGAGGGAATGGTTTGCTAAAAGCCATACAAAGGAAAAAAAGACAGAGTGTATCAGAGAGGAAGAAATTTCAGAGGAAAGAAAAACCTCCTAAGAAGCTTAATGGTCAACAGCATGACCAGTGGGATGAGATGGAGGTGACAGGAACCAGCCAGCCATTCTGTTTACTGCCCTTGCTTTCACCTCCTCTCAGTCGCTTGCCTGGTGGCCAAGCCCATGGCTGTGTCCCCGTGTCCCCACAGCAGGTCAGGGAGCAGCCACCATTGTGGTAACAGAAGAGAACACAATCCACCTTCAAACCCCGCCCAGCGTATTTACAGAACTGGAGATCATTCAACTTACTTTCCACATTGATCTTGGCTTGGGTCTTGTCATCTGGACTCTCACAGCAGTAGAAGCCCCTGTCTGCAAAGGAGATGTCCTTGACCACCAAGGTGTGCTTTGCTCCCTCAGCTTTGATTTCTATTTTTTCACTGGGCTTCAGTACAATGCTGTTCCTCATCCACTTGACCTCTGCAGCTTTTGTCAGTTCTACCTCCAAGGTCACGGTGTCCCTCTCTTCAACTGTTCTGGGCTCCAGTTTCTTCTTGAATGAGATTGAGGCCTCTGCCAAAGGAGAAGAAATATTAGTAAAAATATAGAGGATCCAGAAAATAGGCCTTCAGAGAAATTTAAAATGGTGGCTCATGTATCTCCAGTCCCAATAAAATGTGGGCGTCCCTATTTAATGACATGAAAGCAGAATTTCCCTACTGCAAACATAATCAGTCAGAGGGAAAACCACATAAAACCACACAGGTCACAGCATCAGTGCCAGCCTGTCAAAGGGACATTACTGCCACCTACCTCGGACTCGGAGGTTGGCCTTGCTTTCTACACCCTCAGCGTTGGCAGAGATTTCAGCTGCATCTTCCAGCGTCAGATCAGTGATGGTGAGGCTGTGGTTGGTGTCCTTCTGCGAGATCACGTACTTCTTGCTGGCTTCGATCTTGACACCATTCCTGAGCCAAGTGACCACAGCGTCACTGGGAGAGACGGTGCACTTGAACACAGCCTCTTTTCCTTCCTCAGAGACCACGCTGATGAGACTCGTAATGAATTTCACCACTCTGGGAGCTGATGGAGAGGGATAAAACATTTAGGAGTGTGTCTTAAATACGGAATAAGCACCTTCAAAGAGTCAAAATCTTAGATGATTTTATTGGAAACACCAACTTTTATGACTTGTAGTAAGCAATTAATCATAGAATCACAGAATGGTTTGGGTTGGAAGGGACCTTAAAGATCATCCAGTTACAACCTTCTGGCCATGGGCAGGGACCCCTCCCACCAGACCAGGTTGCTCAAAGCCTCATCCAACCTGGCCTTGGACACTTCCAGGTAGGGGACATCCATAATTTTGCTTGACAGCCTGTTCCAGTGTTTCACCACCCTCAGAGTGAAGGATGTAATGGGTTGTCATGTTTCTCAGTATCTAAGTTTTGTGTATAAAGTTGCCAAAAGAGAGAAGCAAAGAGGGGGAAAAAAATCCCATCTTAGAATTGGGAGAGTGAATTACAGCCTCAAGTGCAAGATGAAAGTCAGTTTGCCTACGTATTAAGAGACTTGATATCAACAGGTCTCAAAATCACTGTGTTCTTCACAAATAGAGGTTACACTGACATTAGAAGTGGAGTTTTCTATTTTATTTTCAACACAGGAGACAGCACAAACACACGAACAAGCTCAGCTTTGCAGAGTTGCAATGGCTGAGGACAAAGCCCAAGAATCCCTAACGTCACCATTAGAGACAAACCTTTGGGGGTGATGGTGATGCTGCTTTTGTCATCTCTGGACTCGCAGGAGTACTCTCCTTCATCCTCAGCTCGGATTGCGGTTATTGTCAGGGTTCTTTTGACTCCCTCTTCACGAATCTGGAAACGTTTGCTGGGCTTGATCTCAACCCCGTTCCTGCGCCACACCACCTTCCCTTTGGCGTGGCTGATGTCACAGGTCAAAGTGACACTGCCTCCAATCTCAGCATTAACAGCTTCAAGTTTTTTGGCAAACTTCACCGGGATTTCTGAAATCCAGAAGAAAGGAAGATTATGAGAAAGGAAAGAGTAAGAAACATGTTCTAAGAAATGGGTTCTGGCCAACTGACATAGATAGACAGACAGATAGACAGATGCATGCCAGAAGATATTTGGGGGTCAGAGTAGACAGTAAAATCATGGAACAGATTCTCCTGGTAGCTGTACTAAGGCACATAAAAAATAATCAAGTGGTTGGTGACAGCCAACATGGTTTCACTAGAGGTAAGTTGTGCCTGACTAATTTAGTGGCCTTCTATGACAAAGCTACAGCACTGGTTGACATGGGAAAAGCAACGGATGTCATTTTTCTGGACTTGTGCAGGGTGTTTGACACTGTCCCACATGACATCCTTGTCCCTAAAATGGAGAGACACGGATTTGACAGATGGACCACTCAGTGAATAAAGAACTGGCTGGATGGTTGCACTCAGAGAGTTGTGGTCAATGGCTCGATGTCCACATGGAGACCAGTGACAAGCGGTGTTCCTCAGGGGTCTGTTCTGGGCCCAGGGCTGTTCAACATCTTTGTCAGCAACATGGGTGACGGCACTGAGTGCACCCTCTGTAAGTTTGCCGACGACACCAAGCGGTGTGGTGCCGTGGACTCACTTGAGGGAAGAGATGCCATCCAGAGGGTCCTTGACAGGCTGGAGAAATGGGCCAGTGCAAACTTCAGGAGCTTCAACAAGTCAAAATCCTGCACAAAGGTCCTGCACCTGGGCTGGGCTAATCC